TGGGGGGGCGTGGGCAGGCCTGGGGGAAGACCTGCAGCAGGTGGGGAGGCTGGCAGGATTCAGGAGGAGCAGCCCCAGCAGGGCCCAGGAGGATGTGGGGGGGCCCCAGAGGCCGGCCCAGCTGTGGCTGCAGAGGCAGGGCCGGGCCAGGGCTCGGCCAGGGAAGCCCAGGAAACATGCACCGAGTTAATCCTCCGTGTGAGGCCCAGCCAGCTCAGCCCTGGACGCCGCTGGGCAAAGCTGGTGGGACGGGAATTGGCGGGAAGTGTCAGTGTGCTTGCACCTTCCCGGGACACCTGCGAGGATCCGTGTGCACACTGCACACCCAGCTGCCGCGCCGACAGCAACGCCCCCTCGCTAGGTCACAGCCCCCCTCCCGGGCCTCCTGGGGAAGGATCAGCGGACGTCTGGGTCCAACCGCTGGTCAGGGAGGCTCCGTCTCCACTCCCGTCCGAGGACACAGTGTCTGAGAAAGACAAGCGCCACGCACGCCACCATCAAGGACACCCAGCCTGACCAGCTTCGACGGAGATCCCTCAGGTGACAGCCCGAAGGGAAACGCCCACCAACGCGGGCGTCCGGTCTGCAGGCACTCGGCTCCCACTGCGCCCCGCACGCATCCCGTCCCGTGGGCTCTGGCCCCGTCCATTCCCGGGAGCTGCTGTCCCCGCACGGGGACCTCCTCCCTCTTGGTGCCCCCACTCCGGTGCCCAGGACACTTGGTGGCCGGGCGGGGGGAAGGGCAGCGGTGTGTGTCTGCTTCACTCTGTGTTCTCCGCCCTCGTCTGAGGAGGGTCAGCTCGCCTGGGCGTTCCCTCCTGGCCAAGCTGCCTCCGCGGAGCTGGGCCCTGGCCGTCCCGGGACTCCCGTGGGCACCTCCCCCCGGTCACACCTGTTCGTGCTGTGTCCTCCCCATGCCCTGCGCTCCGAACCCATCCGAGGCCCTGAACACGCTCTTCGGTGAGGCGAACCCCAGCGTCTCCGGAAGCAGCGGAAGGGCTGTGAGTGGGCCCGGGGCCTGCCCCCTGGCATCGAGGCGGCTTCCACACACACGGTCCTGGGCGCCCCCGCACTCCAGGGAGGCCTCTGCCCACGCAGGCCCGTGCCTCACACTCGTATTTGTACTTGTCACTGTTTGGAACGAACAGGTGATTTTTTGAACCATTAACTCCACAAATAAAGAATTTTTCCTAACCCTCATAAACCCAAATTTGAAGACTTTTAGAAGGAAAATGAATGGAAACGAAGACATCGATTGGTGAGTCTGGTGACACAGCCAGTTCCATCCGACACCAGGAGAGAGAAGCTGGAGTCTCGAGCTCCTGCTGGAGTGAGTGGGGTCCCGGGTGTTCAGCCCCAGGCGCCCTAAAGGCCGATCACCATTCCTCGGGTGCTTCCCAGGTGACAGTGGTCACCCAGCCACTCGGGGTCACCAAGCCAGGAGGCCGCCTGCAGTCCCGGAACCGCCGTGACGAGCCGCCGTGCAGAGTGTCTCCTGGCTCACAACGCAGTGCGGCTCGTGCACACTGTGATTAAGACACAACCACGGGAGCGGGGGACAGGTCTCCCGAGGGGTGGCTGGAAGCCCTGCCGCACCTCGTTAACTGTGCAGGTGCAGAGCAGCTAGAAATGCCACTCACCCTCAGGGGGCGCGGCTCCTGGCAGGGACTTGTGCAGGGAAGCAAGGCCGAGGAGGCAGGGCTCACAGGCACGCTAACCCCGGGCACAGGAAGCGTCCTCTGCCACCAGGTGACCGTGCAGCTGCTGGCGGGGCATGGCGTGCTCACCTTCCCCAGGCCACTGGCACTTGGAGCCAGAGGTGGCAGGCAGGGAGCCGGTGGCGGCGCAGCTTGCAAGAATAAAAGGCGTTCATTACAGGGGGTTCTCTAGCAAACGGCAACGCCAAGTCTCGACAGAAACCACATCAAAAGCCATGTCAATCACCCATATTTTTCTCTGCTTCAGACCCGCGGCATTCTGGGGATGACAGGAGAGCAGAGGCACCTGCGACCAGGGAAGACACCAGGATCTTAAGGATGGGCGCGTCCTGGGCAGACTGCAGCCTCCACTCGGCAGGCTGGCCCCTCACAGCAGCAGATGGGCTGTGCTCCCTCCAGAAACGCTGGAACTTGTAGCTGAGCACCGGCACCAACACGGAGCCATAGCAGCACCTGGCCATGCGCCCGCCCGGCGGGAGCTCACCTGGTACAGAGCGACAGGCAGGTGGCTGGGAGGGACATGTGAGCTCTCAGGCCTTGGGGCTGGGCAGCCTGTGGCTGGTTCGGAGGACACAGTCCTATCTGCCTCCTCTGGCTAATGGACGCATAGCATCAACCCTGAGGGCTGAGCAGCGTGCCCTGGAGAGCCTGCGATGTGAAATAATGGGCAGCACCGAGGGAGGAACGGTGGGAAGAGGTGAAAACGCATGAGATACTCTTTTAACAGGTAGAACGCCCACGATCTCAGCCTTCTTAACAATCCCACCTGGACGCTTAGAGAGAGGAGGGGGGGGAGGGAGAAGCATTGATCAGTTGCCCACTGTACGCTTCCCAATCCGGGATCAAACCCACAACCCAGATGTGTGCCCTGACCAGGAATCGAACCCACAATCTTCTGATGCACGGGATGTTGTTCAACCAACTGAGCCACTCTGGCTGGGCGGATCTCAGACTTCTTATATCATTTTCCTAATGGGGGGAAACCGATTTCCAATGTTCATATCACTATTTAGAGTGATTTGGTGCGATAATCAGAGGCTCCATGGAGAAGACTGGGAAAGGGCCTCAGGGGCTGTCCCCGTCAGAGCCTTCGGACTGGCAGGCACAGCCGGCGGAGGCGGGCCCCTGGTGTGGCCTCCCTCCAACTCTGACGCTGCCTTAAACCCTATGCCCAGCTTTCGGGTAATGGGCAACGTGGGGGCTTATAAGATGACGCAAGACATTGTTGTGTGGTGTAAAAACCTATTTTAAAATCGAGTGTAAAATAAAAAAGGAGAAAAGGTGTATTGGAGATGTGGAGACGGGAAATGGCCCTTTGCTGCCGGGGCGTCCTGGGAGTGCATGTCAGGCTCCCTCAGCTGCCCAGGAGGGTCAGAGGGCGCCGGCACCCTCTGCAGTGAGCCCTGAGGACACGCTTCAGTGGAGTCCGAGGACCGTGCTCTGCCCGGAGGCTGCAGGCAGACGGACTGTGCAGCCCGGCCCAGGGTTATGGGGAAGGCTCCACCCGCCTCATGTCTCCCTGTGGGGCCTTCCCCCGGGTGCAGAGAAAAGCCCTACATTCCAAACAGAGCCCTATCGGCCTGCAGTTCCCTGGGGCAGCGGGAGGATCCGGCTGAGGACGGGCTTTGAGAGGAGGAGACAGTGTCCAGCCAGGATGGAGCCCTTGCTGACCAGGTGTCCCTGAAGCGGTGATTCTGACGGTCCCTCTTCTGGCCCCAGAGACTTGTTTCGATAGGTCCTCCAACCTCAGGAGGCACCGGCAGAAATCGAGAGAAGATCTACCGGGCAGATGATGGAGAAGAAAGTCCTGGAAAGGGTCCAGGCAGGCAGGGCTCTGGCAAGCGGGAACAGGTGAGCACCTGACTAGGTAGAGATGGGGCTTGGGAGGGTGCAATTGGCAGATAAGCTAACCACAGATTGGCTCCGTGAAGGGCAAAAACCCTCCCCACTTCCTTCGTTTCTCTGTTCCTTCATACGCACTCACCCCAATTGTTGAGTGATGGCGATGGTGACGGTGATGGTGACGGTGATGGTGAAGGTGGTGAGGGTGATGAAGATGGTGATGGTGATGGTGAAGGAGGTGGTATGGTGATGATGACGACAGTGATGATGGCGGTGATGAAGATGACAGTTATGACAATGATGGTGATAGTTGTGGAGATGGTGATCAACACTCTTTTGCTGAGTGTTTGCTATGTACTAGTTATTACTCTGAGGTCTTACATCATACTTACCTTGTCAAAATCCTGTGAGGGAGGTCCTACTATAGCCCACATTTTACAGATGGGTAAACTGAGGAAACTTGTCTAATAAGGCCACTTAATTAATATGTAGAAACACCAGCCCCATAGCCCAGGCAGTCTGGCGGAGAGGGGATTCCCTTCCAGGTCCGCATCGCAGGCATGGGATGTGTAGACTGCGGGCCCTGCACCAGCAGAGGCGATCCACGCCCGCATCTGGAAAGTGGGCTGCTCTGTAGGACTCTGTCCAGTGGACAGAAGGAAATAGGGATAAAGGGCTACAACTTCCTGCTAGCTCTCCTCCTCTCCCAGATCCTGCTCTCTCACCTGGCCCAGGGGCGGCCCTGTCATGGAGATCCTTCCAAAGATGCACACGTGGAGAGGGCCAGAGACCTTCGCCGCAGCGGCGACAGCCCCAGCCACTCACGCATAGGAGCCTCTAGCACAGGCTGCCGCTCAACGACTAGCTCCTGAGTCTCAGCCAGAACCATGCAGCCTGGCAGCTCCTGGGCTGTTCCGGGCTTGTCACAGACACTCCCGGACACGCTGAGCCACAGACACCCCAAGGACACGCTGAGCCACAGACACCCCAGGACACGCTGAGCCACAGACACCCCAGGACACGCTGAGCCACAGACACTCCAGGAGATGCCGCTGCCGTGCGGTCTGCAGGTGTGGGAGGACCATGGGTGGCACCAGACAAAAATAAAGTATATTCCCTAGCGGTTGAGAAGAACTTGCAGCAATTTTTATGATGGTTATCACTGAACATTCCTCGGCCTTTGCCATGTGACCCCAATCTCAGTGCGGGTTGGTAGTCAGCAGGGTTTGGTAGCTTAGCCAAAGTTCAGCATTGACAGCAAGGATAGGGGAAACCGGCAGCACTGGGCCCGGCTGTCCTTTCGTGTGGCCTGGACTCCTGAACACACGGAATAGGCTGACACTAAGGGTTACACGGTGTCTCTGCCTCTGGGTCAGAAAACTCTGAAACCATCCACTCCTCATACCCACTTCCAGGGCCAACGTTCTCCATGGCTCTTAGAAATCAGACTGTTTTCTCAGGGGACATGCTGCCGTGGAGGAAGAGGAGCCCGGCACTGAGCGCCTGGGTCCCAGGCAGGCAGCGCGGTGCCCACCGTGGCCCTGTGGGCAGCCTCCCTCCACCCCCAGGCGGCCTCCCCTCCTGCACCCAGGGCCACAGGCCGGCCCCAGAAGCTCCAGAAGGCGCCTGCCTGCCGCCCGTGATCAGATCCGATCCCGGGCCGCAGGCTGGCCCCAGAAGGAATGGCGCTTGTCCTCATCGGAACTGTGACCTCTAACGAGTGCAGTGCCAGCCCCACTGGTACAAATAACCACGAAGGGAAACCTGTTCCCATGAATGAGCCAACCTGAGCAGCGCGTGGGATACCGACTTCATGGAGGGAGAGGCAGCTCCCACTGCCAGCCACACCCAGCGTGGGCACAGAGGCCGCCGGCACGCACACCGGGCCCGGGTCAGTGACACGCAGGAGGCTTTCCCACGCCGAAGCCTGTGTTTAAACAGCTCTTTCCCCCGTGGCCCGAGTTGAAAGAACCTCTCTTCTCAGACTCCACAGGTTCCGGGTGGAGCTGCAGCCCGGCCTGCAGGCCCCTGAGCCTGTGCTGATGGGACGGAACGGCGCTCAGGCCTACTCTGGGGCAGGGGGACTCACTCCAGCGAAACGGCCGATCATATGTTTACAGTCTCCATCAGAGAGTGGCTTTGTGAACAGTAATTCATTTCCTGTTTCAAAAGGAAGTTTTCCCTTTGAGTTTATTTAACCAGGCAGCTCTTCTAGTTTCTTTGTTAATAATTCAGTTGACCAAGTTAAAAATTCCCATGTGCCGGATGAGTTAGTGATTCCAGCTCACCATCCGCTCAGCACAGCCTTGTATCCAGAAGCAAGCCCTGCAGGGCTGCCTTCGGAACTGGAGGGGCCCGTTTCCACGTTCCCTGTTAACGCGTTCGACGGCAAGGACCTCAGATGAATGTACCTGTGGCTCCCCCATCAAATGAAGCGTTGTTCAGGGTCTCAGGAAGCGACGGCCCTCCGAGTGCAGCGCAGACAGGCCTCACCAGGAGCCGCAGACACGCAGACAGGGCCCAAACCTGCTGGCTTACAGGGGGA